AGAAACTTGGAAAAGGTTGTTACTTGCAAACATTTGGACAAATAACCTATCAATTGTTTGTTTATTGGTTTATTTTAAAAACTTGGAAAATGTTGTTACTCGCAAACGTTTGGACAAATAATCTATCAATTTTTTGTATTGGTTTATTTTAGAAAATTTGTTACTCATAAATTTTTGGATAAAATTGTTTGTCTTATTGTTTTATTTTAATACTGACCTTTGACTAAAAACAATCTATTTGGTTATTATTTTATCAATTTTGGTAATTTGGATAAATTTCATAATTTATATGTCACGTGAATCCGCTGTGATGAGACTAGTAGACATATAGAAAGACCCCCAGCGAGGTCCACTGTGACGAGGTTTGACTGTATTATTAATTAAAAATTAATAGTAGTATTAAAATCATAATCAAATTTTCAAGCATATATAGTAGTTAATTCCACAATACAGTCAAACCTCGTCACAGCGGACTATAATTAACGAATTTTTAAAATTTTGCTTGGCAAGATTATAATTATAATAATGTAAAATGAAATCAACAATTAATAGTTTTTCAGAAACAAACAATGATATAGATCATAATGACATTTATTGTGTTAAATGAAATACAGGGTATCATAATGGACAAAAGTCCAGTTATTAATTGGGTTCATATCCAAGATATATATTGCTTATATTCAACTAAATAATTATCAAAAATAAAGTCGGGGACAGACCCGGTTAATAAGTCCATTATGGCGTACCATAATTAAATACTTATGTTTCTTCAAACTATGGTCAAATGATCTTGCTAAGGCAACAACAGCAAAGACAATCAAGAATGGAAAGGAAATATTGAATTTCATCAATTAATTCTTGTAATTTTTCACTTTTTCCTATGAGAAAATTTTCCAAAGGACATTTATAAAAAATGAATTAAGAAAGAGTCAGATTTATAAAAATTTATAATAATCCAGTTATGAATGAGGGTTTACAGATAAATGAATCCTTTAAATATTCGAATACACTCATTCATCTGAATTTAACGGTTTAAGCTTACTCAAATAAATTTTGAAGCTAAACAGCCCAATAGTAAAGATGTTCGTTCACAAAAAAACTTGACATTAATTAGAATGAATTAAAAAAAAAAATCACCAATAATAGTAAATTACAAGATAAATTAAAAATAAAACCATTAATAGTAAATTTACAGGAAACAACAATATTAGCAGCAATAATAATATCATTAATAAGTACTACAAGTCAAATCTTGTCACAACAGATGCACGAGGCACATAAAAAAAGTTTTAGTTTAATAATGAATTTGTATTATAAACTTTTTTAAAAAAAAATCTCCACGAATAAAAGTATCACTCTCATTACCAGGAAGTTCTTTGGATATAAATTGAACAAATATAGTAAAATAATATACTAAAACATATCATACTATTTACAATGAAATTTAGAAATTCACAACAATGTTATACGTTTCACAATTTTATATTACTTTTACTATTACCATTATTGGACCGTTAAGAAGTTTTTTCC